GCGAAGACGAGTACGATGGCGAGGTACGACGACGAGTACGATGACGAGTAAGACGATAGAACGGCAACGAGTACGACGACGAGTACGACGAGTACGACGAGTACGACGACGAGTGCGACAAGCACGACGACGATTCGCGACGAGGGCTTAGAACGCAGGATTGCGCAAGTATGATAATGACAAGCAAACGCATAAGATTAAAAATCAGTATGTGGGGTTCCTCGGTAGCGTAATTTGTGAGGTGTCTGAATGATGTTGCCGGCCCCTCGGCCGTCGGCAAAGTTTGGGCGGCCGTTGCAAAAAAGCGGCGCTGCCGTGGCCATCTCGGTTCAAACCCTGGGAAGGTTGCCCCAGGGGGGCCCCGGGCAGGTTTTCAGCTGCCAGACAGAGGCTCGGCCGCGCGCCTCTCGGCGGCCACTTGCGTCGGCAACGTCCGCGACCTCTTCGGGCAGCGTCGCCGCGCTTCCGCCGCCGTCGTTTTCCGAGGCGGAGAAGTACAAAAAACACATGCGAGCACTTCAAGGACTTCGTTGGCCACCGCAGGTCCGACCAATAATGCGCGAAGATCATGGGCGACCTCTGCCTCGAGGATTCCAAGTCTACCCTTTCGCTCGTCGACTCGCAGCGGGACAAATGGATGGTAGAGCGAGGTCTGGGCAACGAAGACAGGGCCAACAAGGCTGCCGCGATGTCTCGCAAGAAGTCAGTGGATCAGATCGGCATGCCGATGAATACTCGGATGCCCCCTTGGACGATCGAGGCCGGAGAAGATGGCCTGGGGGAGATCATGCACCGGGGTGCTCTCCTGGAGGGGGTGCACCAAGCTCGGCTCGCAGATACGGACAAGTCTAACAGGCTGGCACAGCTCGCAGCCTACACGCCCATCAGGGGGTGCCGCAGGTACGACAGGAGGATGCCATTGCACGCGCGCAGGATCCTGGCATTCCTCGGCAACCTCACATATTCGGAGGTGCTGCAAATCACGGTCATGGAAATACTCGAGAGCACCGATGAATGTGACGCAGGCTTCCAGCGAAGGCAGGATGCGATGGGATGAAAGATTGGTGGCGGCATGACAACTGCCATGATGGGCGGCAAGAGGTGGGAGTACATCAGTGCCCTGTACGTTCGGCGTTGGGATAGCTAGCGACAGTACGAGGTATGCTCGTCGTTCTACCGCAGGTCCAATCAATGCATCATCCCCGATGGCTTCTCGAAAGGCGGAGGCTGCACTGTGTGGGAGTACTTCGAGATGCAAATTGCCGGGTTATGTGATGTGCCCCACCGCATCTTGAAGCCCAGGCGCAACATCTACCATCTGCTCAACGCGCTCTTCAAGGACCTGCACGCCGAGTACCCCCAGTACGTTGTGCCCGTTGCGATGCTCGTCATGCCCAGGCTGGAGGCGGCTGGTCGGCACTCCATGTCGGCTGGCCTCGAGCATCCAGCAGTTACGAAGGTCACCGACGAGCACGTCGCCTGCTTGCTGCAGAACATGGAGACAAGCAGCGCCGTCAAGGTTGCAACCAGCGGTGGCGACGCGGCTGCGCTGGTCGACAAACAGGCGAAGAAGGAAGCGAAGGAGCTCGTGAAGGATCAGAAGAAGGCCAACAAGGCAAGCATGGCGGCCAAAGCAAAGGCCAAGGCAAAGGGAAAAGCAAAGGCCAGCGCGGAACCCAGCATTCAGAAAACGAAGATCAAGGCGAAGGTCACAACGGCTTCGGCGAGAGCTATCACTATCGAGGCCATCGAAGACAAGGACAGTGCGGTGTCTTTCCTGACCCATTGGGATCGCACCAAGGAGTAATTGATGAAGGTCGACGGGGCGCAGCTGAGGAAGCTCGCCGCATTCCAGGAGTTGGCGTTGGCCGCTGCCTTCGGCGTCAAAGTCACGTCGCGCCCCCCCTGGCCGCGTCGATGACGGGAAAGTCTGCAAGGTGGAAGTCTACCGAGCAGCATCCCTTGCCCCTCGGCCCAGCGACGTCGACTTCCAAGAGTGCGAGAAGGTCGATCCCGCCCCCGTGTCGGCGGAGCACTTGCTGGGCGTGGCTCGCGGGGTGCAGGATGACATCAAGCTGCTGATGGCTACGTTTCAGGGCGCGCGCTTGGACCAGCCGATGGAGATGTGCGCGGTCGTTGCCGAGTGCATGAGTGCGTCCATGATGCAGCTCATGTCGACGGTGACGGGCTTGGGTGGGTCTCTGGGGAGCGTGACAAGTGCAAGCGATAGGTTGACGGGCATGATCACCGACGAGGTGAATGCCATAGTCCCCGACAGCGCGATCAAGGCCATCGCCGACTTCGACGCCATCAGGAAACGCTCTGACTCCCACAAGGAGGTGGCATATATCATTGGCATTACTGTGGGTGGTGTACCGACGGGCCAGGCGGTCGATCGCTACCGTGATGCCATGTTCTTGCGCTGCGCCGTCTGCCTTGGGGCTCAGAAATTCGCGATCGCAGGCGACGGCGGTGGAGGGCAATCTTATCCTGACATCCTCGCGCAGGGCATGAAGAAGCTTGTCCCCGAGCTGCTGGCCATGAACGGCAGATCTTCGATTGCCTCCGATCGTTGATGCGTTCGCAGTCCATCCGCGACGTCATGGCTACATGGATGTCCAAGGCTCCGGAGCCGGCCGCGAAGTGCGCGAACGTCGACCACAAGGGCTACGTTGACAAACGTGGGAAGCTCATGAAGCAGCGTAGCTAGCTCTTGCAAGCGAACAGGGTGACCGACGCGTGCCTTTTGATTTCAAACGAGGTTGGGGATTTGGCCACTCTGGACGTCAAGGACACATTCTTCCCAAATGATCGTAACGATGTGATCCAGAAGTACATGGGGCTCTTGGGTTCTAAGGATAAGGCGTCTGTCGAGGCCGAGCTGATCAGCCTGGACTTGTGTAAGGCTACAGAGACCTGCCTGAAGAATGAGCTGGCCCCCAAAGAACCGACCCGGTGCCAGGACTTGGTCTGCGCGACGGCGGCGGCGGAGAGTTCTACCCTCGCTGTTCGCTCGGGCCCGCAGCGGCCCATCTCTGACTGGTGGCTCGGCGTCTTGCAGTCAGAAAAATCAGATGCAGCCGCGGCGGCAGAGGACGACAAGATGTTCGCCGCCTCGTCCCCGACCTACGTCGCGAAGAACTTGATCGAATCCTTGGAATGCTACTTCAGCTCGCTGGTGGCATCGGCCTACATGTCCCAGGACGACCCGCGCGCGATCGTCACAGCTGGCAGCGATGCGAAGCTTCGGACAGATATTCACTACAAGGCATGCCCCTTGCCGCCGCGTGCTCTGGATCTGTGGGGCAAGGTGATCGACGAGACAACGGCTGCCTCGGCCCCAAGGCGACTCTCATGCCCATCGAGATGGTCGAAGGCGAATTCCCTCATGAACTCGTGGGCGACACTGTCGGCTGCGGCTGCCTCGACCTCTACTTGGACGGGAGCAAGGTGTGCAACGCGCGCAGATCCGACTGCTGCATCGGCTGGCTGATCATACCCGCGAAGGAGCTCTCGGCCGACCTGCAGGAGGCGTTGGCGGCCGACCCCGGCGACGAGGCAGCCCCCCCCGCCGAGCGCGCTAAGCTGATCGCCAAGAAGGAGCAGGCGAAGGCCAAGCATACGTTCGCCGCTCACGACGTGCGCTACGCGCGCTTCGGGGCCAAGGCCGCTCTGGGTCATAACCAACCCGAAAACCAAGCTACATAGGAGGAGGGAGAGGGGGGGGGGGAGGGGGAGGGGGAGGAGGACGACGATGATAATGAGCAGGACAACCAGGAGCAGAGGGGGGGATGAAGAGAATGATGGAGAGGAGGACGTGGAAGCCCCCAGGACCACGAGGAAGACGAAAAAAGGAGGAGGAGGACCATGTAGGAGTTAGAGCGCCTCCTTGTTCAGAATGGGGCGTTCGCTCGATACTGCCTTAGGCGTCGCGCCAATAAATGTAACATCGCGCAACCAGTGCTCGGATGGGGGGCGGCTCATTTTCAAAGCGGGGCTCAAAATGGGGATCTCGCCCGCGTCGAAAAATCGAGCCACGTCCACGGGGCGCTCGTCTTTCAATGGGCGGGGCGCTTCCCGCAGTGTAATAAAATTAGTGCGGGGGCCTTTGAGGAACGAGCTTGGGGCTGGACGGTGCGTTGCAGCATCGTCGGTCCACCTTCGGTTTTCCAGTGGCCCTTTCCACGCGAGGCCCTGTGCCAGAATGGCGAGTTGGCCACGCGCCACTTCAGGCGGCCCACGCTGGCCGCCACCGTAAAGGACCAGCAGCAGCAGCAGGAGTCTCGGCTGTGCCTCCGCTCGCCGACCCCGTTCGACGCGATTGAGATCGCGCGCCGAGAGGCGCGCCAAGGCCCCGAGCGCGCGGGTGCCGAGGTCGGCGCCGCGGCGGCCCGCCGAGGAGGAGGAGGGGGAGGGGGCGGAGGACGAGGAGGAGGAGGAGGAGGAGGGGGAGGGCGAGGACGAGGAGGAGGGGGAGGAAAAGGAGGGGGAGGAGGAGGAGGAGGAGGACAAGGAGGACAAAGAGGACAAAGAGGAGGAAGCGGAGGAGGTCAACGGCTTCACTGGCATCCCCGAAGGGAGGAGGAGGAGGAGGAGGAGGAGGAGGAGGAGGAGGAGGACACGGGACCATTGGAATCCCCGAAGAGAGGAGGAGGATGAGGAGGAAGAGGAGGAGGAGGAGGAGGAGGAGGAGGAGGAGGAGGAGGAGGAAGAAGAGAGGATGGGGAGCGACGCATCGACGCCGACATTTTTCCCGACGGGCAGACGGGCAGGCGCGAGTCGCGAGGCGCGACGACTGCGACGCAGTCCGAGTCGGAGGCCTGCCTGAAACAACCCCCCCACCCTACCTGACGTTGACGTCGTCGTCGTCGTCGCCGCCGACGTCGACGTCGACGTCGGCGTCGTCGACGTCGACGTTTTCGTCGAAGTTGTCGTCGTCGCCACCGACGTCGACGTCGCCGATTCGATTCGCGGGGCCATGAAGGCGACTCCAGGCGAGCCTACTCGCCCGAGCCCTCGCCGACGGGGCTCAGGCCGCGGCCGCGCCGCGGGCGGACGCGGCGGTCCTCCGCGGCGGAGTTGGCGGCCAGCACCCGCTCGGCGAGGTCCTGCTCGTCCAGGCCGTGCGCGGCCAGCAAGGCGGCCCGCGGGCCGCTGCCCGCCACCACCTGCTGCACTGGTGCCGTCGGCCGCGCCGAAGCCTCCTGCTCGCGGCCGCCTGCGCCTCCAGACGCTGCCGCCGAGCTGCCTCCTGCTGGCGGCGGGCCCGCTTCGCCCACGAGGCCCAGCCAGGCCAGGAAGGCCTCCTGGGCCGATGGGGGCAGGGGGCCCTGCAGCCGCAGCGCGGGGATCTCGGCACCTTTCCCCCTGCGCTGCTGGTCTCCTCCGCGAGGCCGTCCGCCTGGATGCAGCCCTCGAGCCCAGAGGCGGCGCTGGCTGCGCTGCCCAGTGGCCCTCTCGCCGATGCATGGCTCCTTGAACTTTGGGCGGCCTCCAGAGCGGCCGCCGAGGACCATGTAGGCCCCACACTTGCTGCATGCCACCAGCTCCTGGGGCTCCTCGCCCACGTCGCAGCACGCGTACGCCAGGGAGTGGCCGAGGTAGCAGATGCCAGCCGTGGTGATGGAGAGGCCAACAGCGCTGGCCACCGAGCGCGCGCTCTCCACGCGCGGCTGCTGAGCCGTCGGCATGCCTGCAGTGGGAAGCTCGGCTCGCTCCTCATGGTCGGCGAACCTCACCCGCTGCCTCTCGTCGGACTCGAGGAACCCGTCACTGTCCTTCTCCGCGATGTCCTGCCAGATGACGGCCGCATGGCCCACCCAGCGGGCCAGCTCCTGGACGAAACCCGCCAGGGCACGGTGCTCGCTCACGGTCTGGGCGTCCACGGCGCGCAGCCGAGCTCCCAGCTTGGCGAGGCGGTCGGCGTGCTGGTTGCCGCGCCTCTGCGCCTCCGTGAGGCGCCCGTCGAGCACTGCCTGCCAGCTGCAGTGGGCGGGCACCTTGTTCACCCTGAAGCTGCCAGGCTCGAAGGCGGTGAGGCTCCTGCTCCAGAGGTGGGCGTTGACCTTCGTCGGGCCCGTCGCATAGGCCAGCCCCCTGCGCAGGCACTCGACCGTGCCATTGCAGTCGACGTTGACCTCCTCGACTGCAGGGCCCGCGTAGTTCACCAACATCCAGACCGCAAAGTCCTCACCGTCGCGGGCGGTCTGCTGCGGGCAGAGGTCCCTCCTGACGTTCCCGTAGACGCCCGCGATGAGGTTGCCGTCGTCGTCGCACTGAGCAATCGCCCAGCCCGCGCGCCTCAGGGAGCCGAACTGCGGGTCGACTGCCGAGCCGTCCAAGTACAACTTGCCATTGAGCCTGTCGTCGGGAGGCCTGTGTATCCACCAGACACTCATGGCGTCCGTGCGAGGCCCTTGAGGAGGCGGCGGCGCTGGCAGCCAGCACCTAGCGAAGTCCTCCCCTGCTGCCTCTCCCTGGGCGCGGACCCGCACAGCGCTCCTCATCAGCGCTGGTGAGACCGAATCCCGCCGCTGGGCCGCAAGCATGGGGCACTCGAACAACCTGTGCCAGAGGGTGCCCCGAGCAGCTCCGCAGCACCTGCAGCTGGCGTGGCTGCTCTCGCGGGCGCTGCAGAGCCTCGCCTGCGGCCAGTGCGCGTTCGTGAGGTAAGCCACCAGCCCGTTCCTCTCGCGCTCGTTGAACTTGCCTCCTGGCCCGATGAGCTCCCTGAAGGCGTCCCAGAAAAGAGAGCCCTGCACAGACAAGGAGTAGGCCAGCTTCCGCATCTCATGCCTGTCCGAGGCGCGCCTCGCTCCAAGGCCGGCCTCAATGCCGAGCTCGCGCGGCCCCAGCAACGTCAAGTCCAGCTCGTCCCCGACGTCCGTGATGAGGCACCGCTCGGACCTGAAGTACCAGCCGATCCTGCCAAGGGTGAGGACCGCTGCATCCACGGGGGAGCTGCAGTGCACCCAAGGCGCCGTCGCTGCCGCATGCCGCGACGCCGCAGCCTCGAGCTCGGCCCTGAGCATCGGCAGGGAGAGCTCGCCCGAGTGCAAGAGCCCTGCCAGCATCTGGAGCGAGCGATCCGTGATCAGCACGAAGGGATCCAGGTCGCGGCCCCTGCGGAGCTCAGCGCACCGCAGCCTGAGGCCGAGGGCTGCGCCGCGGGGGAGCCGCCCAGCGCTGCGGCACGCAGTGACACGCCAACTGTGCAACTCTCCATCGGCCACGCCAGTAACCGTCCGTCCCCAAACCATACTGGAAGTAGGCCCAGCCTTGTGGATCAGGTCCACTTCGACTCCTGCAGCTCGTAGGCAACGCAGGCGCCGCGCCCGCTGGAGCGCATCCCGCGCCCGCCCTCGCCCTTCGCGGACTCCTCTCATCGTGATACTCGCATCGGTGCCCAGGTTACGGGCTTGATGCACCCTCTCGAACTTAATGCCGTGCGCCTCCCAGTACTCGCCCAGCTCCTGGGCGAGGCCAGAGCAGGACGCAAGGTAAACGGACTTCTTGGCGCTGAGCGGGAGGTGCAAGTCCCCAAGCTGTCGGGCCATCTCAGCTCCCGCGCCTCCTAGCTGCTCCACGACAAGGCGGCGTGTCCCCAGCGCCTGCAGGGCCACGTCGTCGACGACGTTCCTGCCAATGACGAGCAGGCGGCCTCCTGAGGACACGGCCCGAAGGGGTCCGAGGAGCGGAAGCTTGGCCAGCGTAGTAGCACACGCACAGCCCGCGAGGACGGTGCCTTGGGAGCAGAAGCCGTCGGAGACCAGGCCCGCGAAACAGATGAAGCGAGGGGCTTGATACATGGCCAAAAGCCCTCTCAGCAACCGAAGATTGAAATTGTGCTCGATGGCGCAGCTCCAGAGCACGTCGTGCCGCAGATTCTCGTAGAACTTCACGATGTCCAGGAAGAGGCTGCCAGCCTCGAAGCCGGCGTGGCGGGCCGCCGAAGAAAGCAGGTTGTGCATCCAGCCCGCCTTCTCACAGCCCTTGCCCTCCCTGCCCCAGAAGAAGTGGAAGTTGTGGGTGGACTCCCACTGCGCACAAACGGGCTGCCGAACTCGGCTCCAGACTCGGAGGAGAAGCGGGATGAGGGCGATGGGGCGGACGCCCCCATCCAGCTTCGGGATGAACACGATCATTGTCGCGGAGGCCCCCAGCGCCTGCGGCCGCTCCTCGTGCGCCGCAAGGAGGTCCAGGCAGCGGAGCTGAAGGGCACTCGGCAGGATCAGCAGCTGTCTAGGGTGTAGCTGGTCCGCTCCGAGCCCTGCAGATGGGGAATAGCGGCGGCGCGTCGCCTGGAACATGTCGAGCGTGATGGGAGGCAAGGTCCAGTCCTGGACGTCCCAGGTGCAGACGTCGGCTCCTCCCTTGAAGCCTTCCTGCTGCCAGAGGGCCTGCCAGTTGGCCTCGAGCTGACCAATAGCAATCATCCCTGCCAGCGGCATGCCCGTGTCTGGGTCGACGACCTGAGGAGGAGGTACCGCTCTGGCAAAGCGGTGCGCCAACCTACCTCCTCGCTGGACGGCCTCTTTGGCCCACGCTCGCCACCGCGCGGAGCTGATGCCCCCGTCGCGCCGCTGCGAGCTGTAGAGCCGTCGCTGGAGCTCCGTGATGGCGCCGACGTGGCCGAGGACTCCTGCCTGGCCGACGAGGTCGATCCACCCGCTGGTGTCGAAGTCGAGCTGCTCCGCCTCCTCCTCCTCGCGGGCCGCGGCCGAGGCGATCCCCAGGAGGCCCGAGATGCGCTCCGCCTCGCGCGAGTACCAGCTCTCATGCGACTGCCGCCACCTCCCACTCCTATCGGCGGCCAGCCTCTACAGAGCCAGATCGAGGGCCTGCCGAATGGCGTGGGTCAGCTCGGAGTGGCGGAAGCGGTACTCACGCTTCGCGACCGCGCTCATCGGCCTCAGGGCGCGCCTCGGCCCCGCGGCACGACCCAGGAAGCGCTTGTGTGCGTCGGGCTGGATGTCGTGGATGCCCACCAACGAGCCCTCGACCGCCTCGACCCACTCGCACACCGCAGCAGGGAGGTCGTGGGGCAACTCGCCTGCCTCCCAGCTCCAGGTGCACGGCTCAGCCTGCCACTGCACTCGACCGCTGCGCCGAAACACCTGCACGACGGCGTCCCCGTGGGCCCTGCAGTTGGCTGCCTCCACGTCAGGGAAGCGGCCAGGCCTCACTAGGACTTGCACCAGCGCATCTGGCCGCAGGTCCTGCAGCCGCAGTCGGACTGGCCTGTGCGGGTGCAATGCGTAGCCGTCCAGAACTGCGGTGTTGGCAACCCCGTGGGAGAGGCAGAACGAGCTCGCGAACCAGTCGTACACCCGCTCCGTGCCAGACGCCATGCGCGTGGGCTCGGCTGGCCCAAGGTAGGCACCTCGCTGAAGGGCTGGCCAGCCGAGCTCGTAGAGGGTCCCAGGCTCCATGTTGAAGTCGCCTTGCACGAGCCACGGGAGCTCCTCGGTCAGCACCAGGTCCCCCAGGCCGCCGATGATGTCCAGGTTGACCCCTTTGGGCCCGAGGCCGTCCTGCAGGTACAAGGAGCAAGCCAGAAGCTGCAAACCCGAGGCCGCTGCTACCCTGACTGCGACCATGCGGTGCCTGAAGTCCCCTGGCACTCGCCACTGCGCCTCCCTCGCCTGGAGGTCCTCGCGGACAAGCACCCCGACGCCTCCTGAGTGGGCTAGGGCCGCCTGCCCAGCGGGCGCAGCTGCATGCAAGAAAGCCGCGTACCCCAGGCTGCGAGCACGGCGGCGCGCGTTCTCCAGCTGGCGAGGCCCAAGGCGGACCTCCTGAACTGTGACCAGGTGCGGGCGCTCGTCCTCCCGCGAAATGTAGGCCTCGAGCACCTCCATGGCGCGGTCCCAAGTGTTGCCGTCGAGGCCCAGCACGTCGAAGCCTGCACGGAGCTGCGCTGCGGCCCTCTCGCCAGCTGGCTCGGCCCCGCCCACTCGCGCCTCAAGGGCGGCTGGAGTGAACCCAGCGGAGGCCCCTCTACTCCCTTGGGACGGGGCAGACGGCTGCGACGTCGGAGGGCTGAATCCTCCCGCCGTCTGCCCGCTCGAGGCCGTCGGGGGGGCGCCGCAGCGGTCCCGACCGCACCTCGGCCCAGGAGCAGGGCCGCCTTCCCGCCGTGGCCCTCCCCGCGACCGCTGCAAGGTCGGCCAGTCAGACGGCGGAGGCGGCGGCACAGGGCCCCAGGCTGTCGCTGCTGCTGAGCTGCTAGGAGCGAGAAGGGCCCATAGGAGCGTAGCCCCCAGGAGCCGCCAGGGTAGCCAAGGCCTGGCCGTCCGCGTGCTCGTCCCTGGCGCCCACCAGGATCTTACGCTCGGCCTGGCCAGGCTGGGGCCAAGCGCCGAGCGCTGCGCCCGACTGCCCGCGGGCGGCGGCTGGCCCGTAGGGCCCCACTGCAGGGCGCGCCCTCTGGGTGGGCGGGCCTGGCCGCACCTGCTGGCCTGCGGCCTCCGCTGGCGCCTGCGGCTCCACGGGGCCGGTGGCCCCAGGGGCAGGGGCGGGTGGCCCTTCCTCGTCGACGTCGACGGCGAGCCCGTCCCCGCCGAGGCCGTCGGCCCAGCGGGCAGCAGCGGCGGCAGGCGCAGCAGGGCGGAGCATGTCCGAGATGGCGGCGCTCTGCGTGGTGATGATGTCCATGATCTCCAGGAGCCTGGGCGCAACGCCTTCCGAGCCACGGCCAAGCATCTCGCCCAACTGGCCGACCTGAGTGACGAGGCCCCCGACTGCGGTCTCGAGGGGACGCTTGCCACCGCACACCTCGATGGCCCGCTGGAGGGCCTGCTGGACCGTCTGCGCCTTCGACTCCTCGAGCTTGCTGAGCTGACCGTTGAAGTCCTCGACCGCAGACTCGACCTCGGCCAGCTCCTCCTGCTTCGCCGCGATCTCCCCCCTGAGGGCCTCCGCTCGCTGCACGGCCTGCTCGCGCTTGGCCCTGGTGGCGGTGATCTGCTTCTCGACCTTCTGCATGGCGTTGGCACCCCCGTGGAGGACAGCGTGGGGGGGCCTCCCGAGCTGCTGGGCCTCGCGGAGCTCTGCCTCGGCCCTCTCAGCAGCGCGCTCCGCTGCGAGGAGGGCCGCCCTGGCCTCTCGCTGGAAGGCCTCGCTGGTCCCGCCCATGGCGACGGCCTCGCGGAGGCTGGAGACGCGCGCCTGGGCTCCCTCAAGCCTGCGCTCCAGGCTCGAAGCGGGCTCCTCTGGCTGCTCCTCACGCTCCTCACGCCACGGGGGGGGCCTGGTTCCGCCCCGCGGCCGCACCCTGCTGTTGGGTGCGCTGCTCGGGGCGGTGCTGGCAGCCGAGGCAGCCCTGGAGGCCTCGCCAGCTCGGCGCGCCGCACGCTGATGCGAGCGCCCCCTGGGCTGCAGGACGAAGCCCTCCCCGTCGGCCTGGGGCTGGGGCGCTGCACGCAGGCGCTTCGCCCACGCTGGCGCCTCCTTCCCGCAAGACTTGCAGGTCGCCCTCTTGTCGCACCAGTCCCACTCCTTGCACTGACAGACCCAGTGCGCCCTGCGCCTCCACGGCGGTGGCGCTCCTGCACCGTCGCCCGCCATGGCTGCTGGCCTCGCGCGCACCGCCTGCCGACCTCGCCTCGGAAGAAAGAAACAAGAAGCTGGCCCAAAGCGCGGCGCCCCTCGCGCTCGACGGCGCCCGATGGACTCGCGGTCGTCGGGATCGCCATGGCCTTGAGCCAAAATGGCTACGGACGTCGACGTCGCCGTCGGCGTCGTCAGCGTCGTCGGCGCGTCGACGTCGACGTCGACGTCGGCGGCGGCGACGACGGCGTCGACGACGTCGACAGGGGAAAGGGGGAACGGCAGGAGAAGGTGAGGGAGGCCCTTTTCCTCGTCCTCCTCCTCCTGCCTCTCTGTTTCTTCCTCTGTCCTAGCTACGTTGGCTCAAGTGTATATAAACGTGTTACTTTTCGCAGGGGCGGCATGGTATCGGAGCCTTGTGACTGTTGAGCGCACACTGCACATAGCAGTTGCAGCCGAAGCCTGAGCGCGGCCGGCGAGCTGGCAACCGACCTGGCGATAGAAAACATCACGACGGGAACATTTCATTTTCGGGGGTGGCGCGTGCCACCGGCTGTTTTTTTGTGAGGCTGGATGGCGTTGTGCTGGGTCCGAAAAGCCCATAGTTACAATTGGTTTTCTCACACGGCTTCGGGTGAGACACGTGTCACCCGCTGTTTTCTGGGAAGCTGAATGGCGCTTATGTTGGTTCCCAGACTGCCATATTTACATGTGTTTTTTTCAATTTCGGGGATGACTCGTGTCGCTCGATGTTTCTTGCGCGGCTGAATGACCTCATGTTGGCTTCTGGATTCCCAAATTTAGAATTGGTTTTTCTCACGCGGTTCCGGGGTGAGACGTGTCAACAGGTGTTTCCTGCAAGGCTTAATGGCCTTATGTTGGCTTCCATAATCCCACATCTACACATGTTTTTTCGAACGCGGTTGCGGGGGTGGCGCGTGGCGCCCGTTGTTGTTGCGCGGTTGAATGGCCTCATGTTGGCCTGTGGAATGCTGAATTTGGAATTGTTTTCCCCGCGGTTTCGGGTGAGACATGTGTCTCCCGTTTTCTTTTTTGAAGTTGAATGGCCGCGTGCTGGCTCCCATAATCCCAAATTTACAATTGGTTTTTTTTTTTATCGTGCGGTTTCGGGGGTGACGCGTGCCAGCCGTTGTTTTCGTGAAGATGGCTGGCCTTATATTGGCCCCCACACTCCCAAATTTAGAATTGGTTTTATCAGACGGTTTAGGGGGTGACACGTGTCACCGCATGTTTTGTGAGGCTGAATGGCCTTATGTTGGCACCCATAATGCCAACTTTACATGCGTTTGTTTTTCTCACGCGGGGTTTCGGGGGTGGAACGTGTCACCCGTTGTTTTTGCGAGGCTGAATGGCGTTATGTTGCCCCCCCGAACCCCAAATTTACAATCGGTTTTTCTCACTCGGTTCGAGGGGACACGTGCCATCCGTTTTTTTGTTTCATTCGGAGGCTGAATCGCCTCATGTTGGCCCCCAAAACCCCACAATTCATAATTGGATTTCCCATGTGGTTCGGGGGGAGACACGTGTCACCCGTTGTTTTTGTGCAGCTGAATGTCCTTATGTTGGCACCCAATTTGCCAAATGTTCAATTGTTTTTTCTCACGCGGTTTTGGGGGGTCGCGCGTGTCGCCTGGTGTTTTTGTGCGGCTGAATGGCTTTTTGTTTTTTTTCTCACGCGGTTTCGGGGCTGACATGTGTCACCCGTTTTTTTTTGCGATGTTGAATGGCAGTGTGTTGGTTTCCAGGTTCCCGAATTCACATTTGTTTTTTTCCCATGCGGTTTCGGGGGTGACACGTGTACCCTTTTTTTGTGAATATGGATGGCGTTACGTTGGCTCCCAGAATCCCAAATTTACAATTGGTTCTTCTCACGCGGTTTCGCGGGTGACACGTGCCATCCGTTGTTTTTTGGAAACTGTATTGTTTTTTTGCTGGCTCCCATAACCCCAGATTTACATAACAAATGTCACGCGGGTTCGGGGGTGACACGTGCCACCAATGTTTTTGTTGGGGTTGTAGTGGCTAGCAAATTCCCAGATTAAACATTGTTTGTTCTCGCGCAGTTTCGGGGGTGGCACGTGTCACTCGATGTTTTTTTTGGTGAAGCTGAATGGCCTTGTGTTGGCTCCCAGAATCCCACAGTTAGAATATGTGTTTCTCACATGGTTTCGGGGATGACGCGTGTCACCTGTTGTTTTTTCTGTGAGGCTGCATGGCCTTATGCTGGCTCGCAGAATCCCAAGTGCACAGCTGGTTACTCTCACGTGGTTTCGTGGGTGGCACGTGTCGCTCGTTGTTTTTCGCGCGGCTGGTTGACCCTATGTTGGCTCCTGGAATCCTAAATTTACAATTGGTTTCTCTCACGCGGTTTCGGGCGTCACACGTGTCACCCGTTTCTGTGGATCTGACTAGCGTGTTTTTTCTCAAACGGTTTCGGGGGTGACACGTGTCACCCGCTGTTTTCTGTGAGGCTGAATGGCGTTATGTTGGCTCCCGGAATCCCAGATCCACAATTTGTTTTTCTCACGCGGTTTCGGGGGTGACACGTGACACGTGTCATGCGCTGTTTCTTGTGAGGCTGAATGGCCTGATGTTGGTTGGCTCCCAGAATCTCAAGTTCGCACGGCGTGGCCTGAGGCAAAACGGGGGTGCGCAGGATTCCGCCCCTGCGCCCGGAGTGCCAGGCCGGTCGCAGGGACATCCCTGGCGGTCCAGTTTGCCCCGTGTTCTTTTTGTTTTCCACTTGCGCAGCGCTGGGAATAACTAGTTTTAAAGCTGCCCCCCATATTAATTTCGAAAAACCGTTTTAAGACGTCGTCGCGGCATGCCACGTCTGCTGCCAAGGTTTCGTTCCGAATACGGTGCGGCTCGCGAGCCGGGCCGATCTTGAAAGGTACTTTCGACACCCCGCATGCATCGCGGGCGGGATATCCGCGGGCAGCGTGGAAGGACTTGCTGCGTTGCCAGAGGAGGGGCGCGCAGAAGTTCTTACCTGCATGGCGCCGCCGCCGACGCTCCGGCCGACGATCCCCCGCCGCGGCACGCTTTGGCCGCGGAGAGGAGGAGGAGGAGGAGGAGGTGGAGGAGAAGGAGGAGGAGGAGGAGGAGGAAGAGGAGGAAGAGGAGGAGGAGGAGGAGGAGGAGGAGGCGGAGGCGGAGGAGGAGGAGGAGGAGGAGGAAGAGAAGAAAAAAGAGGGGGAGGAGGAGGGGGAGGAGGAAAAGTGTTGACGATTGAAACAGAGCAGCATTTACGCGTTTCAGTCTTAGCTTTATTAGGGCGCGTGTTTCGCCGCTGTTGTGGCTCTCCTTGTTGCTCCCACCTCCCCATCCTCCGCCGTCCTCCCCCGCCCCCCCCCCCCCCCTCCTCCCAGCTGCTTTTCCCCCTCGTCGCATCCCCCTCCTCATCGGAGCGGCAGCGTCTGCAGTCCTCGAGTTCTTTGAACATTTGGGCAGCCATCATCACCCACTGCTGCTTCTAGGGCCCGTGAACTCGTGCACCGCCTGCGGAATAATTGGTTTCTTCCTACATCCCTTTTCTCATCTGCTTCCGCGTCCTTCTCGTGCCCCAGGTCTCCCTCATCCTCCTAATTACCCTTCTCTGCCCGCGTCCATCCCCTCCCTCCGCCCTTCCTCCCCCACCCTTCGCCCCCGCGTCCGTGGGCTCTTCTCGTATCGTGAACAGTATCCGCTTCGGTCTTCCCCTCCCGCTCTACGTCCTCCTGGTCCTCGCGATCCCCCCCCCCCTGCGCTCGCCTCGAGAAAGAAGCGGGTGCTCACATGCGAGACCGCCTCGTTGCCCGCGCGCGCGTCCTTCGGAACAGCATGGCTGTACATGTCTCCCCTCCGCTTTGCCCCGTAACCTCATCTTCATCCTCCTCCTCCACCTCCTCCTCCCCATGTCTTCCTCCAGCTCCGCCCCCGCCCTTCTCGCCCATAGCATCCTTATCTTCCTGCCCTTCCCTCTATAGCTTTTAATAATCCTCATTATCCTCCTCCTCCTCCTCGCCCTCCTCCTCCTCCTCCTGATCCTCCTCCTCCTCCTCCCCCTCCTCCTCCTCCTCCTCCTCCTCCTCCTGATGTTCCTTCTCCTTCTCGAGCACTCCCAGCTTGAATCCCTCCAGAGAAAGTCCGAGGACCCCGTTTTGCAGTACCGATCGGGTGAGGTCTATTATGTTGAGCCCCTAGCTTTTCGAATGACGGTGGTTCAGGCTCTTCACAGAGCCGCACAGGTCAGGACGGTCTCTATTGATGTTGTTTCCTCCTCGTTCGTTGCTGATGCGCGTGCCTCGAGTGCGCTGCTTGCTCCTCCCCCTCCACCACCGTCCGAGCCCTGGCAGCCGGAGTCCGATCAGGTAGAGTTTCGCATTTAATGCGACGGCCCCCTCCGCTGCCTGCTGTTCCAACCCCGCTCCCTCCTCCACTGCCGCGGTTGTTGCTGCTGCTTGCTCTCGTCCTTCTCCTGGCCTCGTGTGTGTGTGTGTGTTCGCGTTGGCGGTGTCCTGTTCCTTCTCGCCCGTCGTTCCCCTTCGTTCCCTTGTCGTGTCGTTGCCAGGCCGTGGCCTACGATTCAATTGGGGGAGACTTTCGGCTCCCTTTCCATAGCGAGTCTGCCGCTGGAGGATGGTGCCCTTGCAGGCCGTCATGGATTCTTCCCCATCAGACGTTCCTGCTCAGGGCCAGATGCTTTCCCCCAGCGAGACTGCAAGCTGTAGCCCCGTGCAATCCGCAGATCATTCTGCATATTCTCGGTCAGTTTGCAACGCGTTGCAATCAGGAAAGACAAGCCAGGGTCGTAAGAGTTCCAGTCCAGTCCAGTCCTCCTCTTCTTTCTCCATCCTCCTCCCCATCATCATATTCACATCGGCCCACCGGTTCCAGACGCGAGGGGTGCGTGTGGGGAAAGGGTGTTCCTGCACGAGGATTGCACGCCACGAAATCCATTGCAAAATCCATCGCGGTGGATTTTGCGATGGAGTTCGCACCACCGTCATTCAACCCCACCCAGGAATGTGGCCTAGCTCGATCGTGGAGGGGTGGTGGTCAAGTGAAGGTGACATAAGACGACGTCGTGTTGCACCACGTCCTAGTACTTGTCACTGCCGCGACCGTTGCTTCGCCACGAGCCCGAAGACTTCGCGCCCATCGGCACGTGGTCGTCGGGGCCCGCGTTCTTCTTCACCGTCTCCTCGAGCGATTTCTTGATGGCGCGCATCTCGTCCAACTTCTGATTATTGATCTTCTTACGGTCCTCCTCGTCGGCGAGGCTCGCGCGGACGGCCAGCGTGAAGTCCGTGTCCATGGGCGGCGTCTCGGCGTCGTCGTCGGCAGCCTTGGCCTCGTGGGCGGCCTTCAAGCGTGCTAGCTCTTCCTCATATTGAGCCTGGCTGCCAGCCTGATGTCCTGCGTGTCGGTGGCTGGACGACCACCTGTCATTTCAGTTTCGGCAGGAACCGTCGTGGCCGTGGAGTCGTCGGACTCGATCTCGATGACGGCCGTGCGGTCGGGGACCACCGCGTCTGGGGCGACCGCGTCGGGGGCCACCGTGCCAGAGGCCGTGGCCGACTCGACCGGCGTAGACGCATGGCTTGCACCAGTGGGGCGAGCAAACGCCATCAACGCAGCGCCGATCGTCGTGCTCCGAGGGTCTCGAATGCGCCCCCACTGGATCCCAGGCATTTCTGAGCCAAAACGGCTGCGGAAACAAGAGCACAATGCACCCGCCTCCTTGGTCGTTTGTTTTTCTTCCGTGTTCCCTCTCGTTGTTGTCCTTTCTTTCTACCGCTCTCTTCCTCCTCCCTTTTCTCCTCCCCGTCCTCCCGCAGGGCCTTCGCTTGGCGTGCTTAAAGGTATTCGGGTGCCTGCGTTTTGGCGTCTCCTACTCGCGACCCTCTCCCCTTCATTTTTCATTGCTTCCTCCCTTTTCCCCCGATCCTTGCCCCTCTGTTCTCCCCTTCTCCTCCTCGCCCTGTTTCCTCCCTCCCCCTCCTCCGCCTCCTCCCTCCTCCTTGCGTTTTCCCTCCTGCTCCCTCCTCCTCCGCTCCGCCCTCCTCCTTCTCCTCGGTTTTCTCCTCAGCGTTTCTCTCCTTGGGGATGAGGGCGATCCCTAGGAGAAAACTGAGGAGGAGATGAGGAGGAGGACGCGAATGATATGTCTGTATCTATGTACTCGGAAATTATATCATAAACTATTGGTCATCAGGACATCGCTTGCGGAACCATGATACATTAGTTGTTGTAAGTGCTACAGTTATGCTATGTCGTGCAGTTGTGTAGTAGCAGTACATACCCGACCGTAGTGTGCTTTTTAGTGTAAGAGTTGATCGGGCCATCTTTTCTGATCGGTTGGACCCCTCGGTGGAGTAGGAGAAAGAGGAGGAGGAGGAAGTCGAGGAGGAGGAGGAGTAGGAGGAGGAGGAGAAGGAGGAGGAGAAGGAAGAGGAGGAAGCAGGAGATAGGAGGCAGGAGGCAAGAGGGGGGCGGAGGAGGCTCTCTCCCCTGGCCTCCGGAGGAGCACGCGGTGGAGTGCGCCATAGAGCTCTGCCTCGCCATTGGGTACACCTTGGAGGCGATGCCCGTCGGCCAGGCCGCGCTGGGCCAGGCGGGCGGGGGCAACGCGGGTCCAGCGGGCTGGCCGCTCCTCTGTCCGGGGGCGCAGAGAGCGTGGCCACCAAAAACATGGGGAAACGCAGGAGGGAGGAGGAAGGGACGGAGGGAGGGAGGGAGGGAGAGAGGAAGAGAGGAAGGGAGGGAGGAGGGGAGGGGAGGGAGGCAGGGAGGGAGGGAGGGAGGGAGGGAGGGAGGGAGGGAGGGAGGAGGAGGAGGAGGAGGAGAAGGATGAGGACCAAGATCGTTTTGTTTCCAGTCTGAGCGTTTTTCCTTGATCTCGGATTCCCGAGCACGCAATCGGGTCCCAGGGCCATCAAAAATTGGACACAGTCCGCAATCGGGTCCCAGCCGCGGATGGATCAAAATCACATCGGCGGATATCCAGGGGGGACAGGGGGAGGAGAAAGAGGAGGAGGAGGAGGAGGACCAGTGTAAACCCAAGAGTCATCAACGATGTTGGAATAAACCCTCCCTCCAAGCTCCCTCGTCATGGGCCCCTACAACGGTTCATTTCCACGGAGGGAATTGCCCCGTTGGAAGACAGCCGTTTGAAGACCCTGAAGTATGCAGAAACAGTGTTCTCGGGATGCCGACGCCACGGATCAATTTGACTGTTTCGTCTTGACGATCTTGAATCGCGCTAGAACGCCATTCCTGGGACTTCAATACCCCGAATCCATGTAATTGTTGCACCTTCAGAATCATGACTCCTCTAAACACAGTTCTTGGTAAGCTGACCATGGGAATCCGTTAAAAAAGGTTGCATGCTTTAATGAAAGAAGAATGTGCGCGGCGCTAAGGCGAGAGCTACATTTTGAAAAGGAACCGCCTCAACCCGTGAAACGCTTGCACATGTTAAAACAAATGTGCGCGGCGCTCAGGCGGGAGTCACATTTTGAAAACTATTCGCCGTCAGTTCGTGATGAAATGTGTTTGCAATTTCTGCGACGCTAAGGCGAGAGCCACACTTTGACAACCACCCGCCCTCCATCTGTGAAGCTGCTGCCACTGCTTTAGCTTCAGGGCCACAGATGGTGAGGAGGTCTCGGGCGAAACGCCCGGCCCGCCCTAAAAACTGGCACTGGGGTGCGACAGGGAGAAGTTAGGTATAAGGAAATGGAATGGAGGAGGATGGAGAAAGACGAGAAGGAGGAGGAGGAGGAGGAAGAGGAGGAGGAGGAGGACGAGGAGGAGGCGGAGGAGGGGGAAAATCTTTTTGATGGGCGCACACCCTCTGTTTGGCACGCCTCGGGGTGCGACAGGGAGGAGTTATTACCAACCGTTTTGCGTCGGGTATTCGTTTTGAACAGAGCACTGTGGTCTGCATCTGTCCTACTCCTTCTCCCGCCTCTTCTCCTCCTCCCTCCTGCCTCTCACCTCGCTCCTTCCTGCGTGCCACCTTGCCTCCTACCTGGCCACCCTTGGGGGGGGCTGCGATCTGCGAAACTGTTCCACTGTCGATGGTTGCTGGGGGGTCCAGTGGAGTGACGTCCTACCCGGATTCAAATGAGACCTCGCCGTCCGCGATCTGCGAAAGTGTCGCCATTTTCGAGGGGTGCTGGGGGATCCAGCGGAGTGACGTCCTACCCGGACTCAAATGAGACGGCTACGATCTGCGAAGTTGTCGCCATTGTCGAGGGTTGCTGGGGGGTCCAGCGGAGCGACGTCCTATCCAGACTCAAACGAGACATCGCCATCCTTGGGGGGCTGCGGTCTGCGAAGCTGTCGCTACTTTCGAGGGGTGCCCTGGGTTCCAACGGAGTAACGTTTTACTTTTATTTGAATAAAACTGTGTCGTCCTTGGGGGGTTGCGATCTGCGAAATTGTCGCAACTGTCGAGGGCTGGTGGAGGTCCAGCGGATTGACGTCCTACCCAGATTCAAATGAGACCTCGCCATGATCTGCAAAATTGTCGGCAGTTTCGCAGAACGCAACCTCCCAAGGATGGCGAGGTCCCATCTGCATTTGGGTAGGACGTCACTCCGCTGGACCCCCCCCCCAAGCAACCCTTGAAAAATGGCGACAACTTCGCAGATCGCAGCCCCCCAGGGATGGCGAGGTCTCATCTAAAATCCGTGTAGCACGTCACCCCGCTGGACCCCGAAACAACCCTCGAATATGGCGACAATTTCGCAGATCCCCCCCCCCCCAGGGATGGTGAGGTCTCATTTGGATCTGGGTAGGCCGTCACACCGCTGGACCCCCAGCAACCCTCGACAGTGGCGACAGTTTCTCAGAACGCAACCCCCCAAGGACGGCAAGGTCTCATCTGGATCTGGGTAAGACGTCACTTCTCTGGACCCCCCAGCAGCCCTCGACAGTGGCGACAGCTTCGCAGATCGCAACCCCCCTAAGGACGGCGACGTTCCCTTTGAAGAAAGGTAGAGCGTCACTCCGCTGGGCCCCCACCAGCCCTCGAAACTGGCGACAGCTCAGCAGATCGCTGCCCCCAGGGATGGTGAGGTTTCATCTGAATCTGGGTAAGGCGTCACTCCGCTGGACCCCTCGCAACTCTCGAAAACGGCTACAATTTTGCAGATCGCAGCCCCCCAGGGATGGCGAGGTCTCGTTGGAATCTGGGTAGGACGTCACTCCGCTGGACCTCCAGCAGCCCTCGAAAGTGGCGACACATTCACAAATCGCAACCCCCCATAGATGGAGAGGTCTCATTTGAATCTGGGTAGGGCGTCACTCCGCTGGACCCCCCACCAGCCCCCGAAAATGACGCCATTTTCGAGGGCTGGTGAAGGGTCCAGCGGAGCGACGCCCCACCCGGATTCACATGAGACCTCTCCATCCATGGGGGGGTTGCGATGTGCGAATCTGTCGCCGCGTTCGGGGGATGTTGGGGAGTTTTGTGGAGTGACATCTTGCCCAGATTCCAACGAGACCTCGTCATCCTTGTGGGGCTGCGATATGCCAAACTGTCGCCCCTGTCGAGGGCTGCTGGGGGTCCAACGGGGTAACGCCTTACCCTAACCATATGAGACCTCGCCTTCCTTGGGGGGCTACGGCGGCGATCTGCGAAACCGGCGTCGCTATCGAGAGCTGTTGGGGGTCCAGCGGGGTGACGTCTTCCCCAGATCCAGATGAGACCTCGCCATGCCCCTGGGTACTGCGATCTGCGAAGCGATCACCACTTTCGAGGAGTGCTGGCGGGTCCAGCGGGCTGACGTCTTACCAAGATCCTACCCACATTCAAATGAGACCTCGCCATTCCTGTGGGGCTGCGATGTGCCAAACTGTCGCCACTGTCAAGGTCTGCTGGGGGTCCAACGGGGTAACGTCTTACCCTAACCATATGAGACCTCGCCATCTTTTGGGGGTTGCGGCTGCGATCTGCGAAACTGGCGCCACTTTCGAGAGCTGCTGGGGGCCCAGCGGAGCGACGTCCTACCCATATCCAGATGAGACCTCGCCATCCCCCTTGTGCTGCGATTTGCGAAGCTGTTGCCACTTTTCAGACTTGCTGGGTGGTCGAGCGGGGGGACGCCCTACCAAGATTCAGACGAGACCTCGCCATCCCTGGGGGGCAGCGATCTGCTGAGCTGTCGCCAGTTTCGAAGGCTGGTGGGGGTCCAGCGGAGTGACGTTTTACTTTCATGCAAATGGAACTTCGCCGTCCTTTGGGGAGGGGGGGTGCGTTCTGCGAACCTGTCGCCACTGTCGCCGCTTTCGAGAACTGCTGGGGGTCCAGCGAGGTGACGTCTTACACAGATTCAGATGAGACCTCGCCATACCCCTGGTGCTGCGATCGGCGAAACTGTCGCCACTGTCGAGGGCTGCTGGGGGTCCAGCGGAGTGACGCCCTACCCATATGCAGATGGGACCTCGCCATCATTGGGGGGTTGCGTTCTGCGCAGCTGTCGCCACTGTCGAGGGCTGCTGGGGGGTCCAGCGGAGTGACGTCCTACCCATATTCAAATGGGACCTGACCATCCCAGGGGGGATGCGATCTACGAAATTGTCACCTTCTTCGAGGGTTGTTGGGGGGTCCAGCGGAATGACGTTTTACCTTTATTTAAATGGGTCGTCGCCATCCTTGGGGGGGGGTGCGATGTGCGAAGCTGTCGCCACTGTCAAGGGCTGTTGGGGGGTCCAGCGGAGTGACGTCCTAGCCAGATCCAGATGAGACCTCGTTGTCCGTTCCACGTTCGAGGGGTGCTCGGGGGCCCAGTGGAGTGGCGTCTTACCCAGATCCAGATGGGACCTCGCTATTTCTGAGGGGCTGCGATGTGCGAATATATCGCCACTTTCGAGGGCTGCTGGAGGGGGGGGGGTCCAGCGGAGTGAATTCGCATTCGAACTATTAGGAGACTTTGCTATCATTGGGGGGCCGCGAGTTTCGCGGGCGAGCTAGGCCTGGCACCTTTGTTGCACTGCTTATCGGCAGGTTGGATGATTGTTTTCGAGTGCCGCGGCGACATGGCGCAGGCAGCGCTGCATATCCATCGCAATACCGACAAAACAAGTATTCGTCGGTCTCTGTCCGTCATTTTCTTCGTCGTCCTCTGCCCCTTGCCACCTCGCGGGCCCCCTCGAGGGAAGCCAGCGCGGGAGTTCGAGGGTCTTCAAGGAGCTCAGAAGATAGCTCGCCCAGCGCGCAGCCCTAGGCCAGGGGGCTGCCCCCCGCGACGGATGCGTTTAACGCCTTATTTTCAAGAGTGCAAGGGGAAGTTGAAGATGGAGCTGCGAACGAAGGGCTGGCCCCGCCGCGGGCCCCCGCGCATCTCGCCGCGGAGGAAGGCGCCGCGAGCGCGCGCGCCCGCGCGTCACATGCCGTCGACCTATCAGCCCAAACAGCAGGGAGCGCATTCCACATTGGCCAACAAGCAAGAGCGCTCGCTGATATCATCTTTGAGCGTTGCCAGAGGTACGGGTTTCAGGTCAACCTCAACAACGACGTAGTCGCGATTGCGCAAAGAGGTAAATGGTCGAAAGCGCAGAAGATGAGACTGCGCGCGGGAGGGGCGGCCAAGATGAAAATCCTTC